AACAGGTATGAAAAAAATTGAAAGAATGTTTGTAATATGGAGAGTTTCTTTTACTTTCTGGAAGTCGGAATGGATGTGAAACAGGCCAGAAGGAATTTCATCAAAGGTATTTTAAAACTTAAGAAAGAAGCCACAAATAAGGAAATGCTCCGTGAGGTGAATATAAAAGAGCTCTGTGAGACATGGAGGAAATGGGAAGCCCCACCTTACACTGAGGAACTAAAGGAAACTGTGCTGTAATTCTGATTTTGACTGGGTGAAAGAATCTGGTTAAATGAGCAATGCTTTACAGGAGTTGTATCAAAGGCTCAGGCAGAGTTATGCTGTGTTGGTGGTGTTTATCTTGCACCGCGTGTCAAGAATCCCAGTCATGGGCTAGACTTCCAGTGAGAGAGGAATGGTACAGCCAAAGGGCAGACAGGCTTGGGATTTTTTTTTGGCTGAGGATTCAGGTATAAATTTGATTGCGTGGTAACAACTTTAAGATCCATGCCTGTAAAACAGATATTGAGATGTTGCTAAAAGCAGTCTTGAGTGATATTGGTTCTGAAAATGAGAAGAAAGCAGCAAGTCTGTGTGCTGTGCAAATCATTTCACTGTTATGTTAGGGTAGAGGGAAGTGTGAACATCTCGCTTCTTACAAAATGCTAATATTGTTATGCATTTGTAATTATTTTCCTGCTGTGTTGCAAGATCAAAAAGCAGCTGTTCTCAATAGCGTGCATTTATATCGTTAAGTATATTTTGTTGTGGTATTGCAATTGAAGAACGTGATTAAATGATGTCTTACAATACTGTCTTCTGCAGGAGAGAGATGCTTGTTTTTGTGTCCTTCCCAAAGGTTTAGTATATCCTTGGAAGTCTTATGAAAGACTGCTAAGAGCACAGGCTACAGCTTTTTTATTTTTAAGGAAAGGAATTATGCTTTATTCCTTTTAATTAAAAAAAAAAAAAGAGAGACAACAATTCAGTATGCTTGTGGAAGGATAGATTTTAGAAATAATCAGAATGCCTGCTGGAAAGAAAAAAATATTTATTGTATGTATAGATAGCACGTTTAGGTAATTTTAAGAAAAAGCAAACTTAAAGCCACTCTTTTGGAGGACATTTCCTGAAGTTCTAAAGTGTATTCGTCTCTCTCCCTCTCTCGCGTTCTGTCTTCCTCTGATTCCCTATATGAGAAAATACAGGTTCGCTAAATATATATTATGATGTTTTATTATCTAGATAACAATCCTATTCAGTGTGTCAGGAAGAAGAAATTAAGGTGAAATCTTAATCTCATATTTATATTAGCTTCATTGAAGCATTTATCGATAATGTTCCCTTCTGTAGGTCACACTAAAAAAAGAATAAGAATAGCCAAAGATGAAGGAGAGAGTCTATCACATATTGAAGGAGAGAAATGAGAAGGTTTGTAAGTGTGTGGAGTCTTGTAGTGGGAGAGTATTTTTTTTCTTAGTTACATTTTGAATCGTCTTCCAATTTTTCCATCAACCAGCTTATCTGTTCTCACATTAATTCTCAGCTTTGCATTTACAGTTCATCCTTTTTAGTGTTTGGTTATATTAGATTAAATAATTATAACATGCTTCTAGCTTTATTAATGGTCATAGGCTGGAGGTTTTCAGACTCTTGTTTTTAAAATTCAAGGACCAAGAAATATCAACCTTGTCCTGTTTAGGCATGGAAGTGAAATCCATTGCTCTGGACATAGCTTGTTGTTCTAATGCTTTGCCATCAATTCTGGTAAAACCATATTTACACTGAATTCCATGAACCTTTAGGTGTTTCGAGTGCTGCTAAAGCTGTAGAGATTTTGTGTCACAACACAGAAGGGTTCCTCTAATGATTCATTTGAGTTTGCATTGGGGTAGGTAAAAAATGTCATTTTGTTGTTGAAACGTTGAGTTACCATAACATCTGATTCTTGAAGGTCAGAGGCAAACCCTATTACTTTCTCTGCTATATTTTTTTTTTACTTTTATATGTTTTTTTCTAGATTTATGTCTTGTAATGTTTTACAGTTGTTCTAAGTGTTAGGTTGAGCTTTGCTATAGAAAACAAAAATACTAACTAGAGAAATTTATTTTTAGTTGAGTGAAATCTCGTGTTTTATCTAAATAGTTTGTTTGTATGTAAGGCTCTAGATTGTTATCCTCTCGCTCTCTCTTGCTATTACGCATGTCAGTAGGTGAAGGACTTTGGAAAGTTACGCTTCCTGGTGATTCTCTCCCAAGTTGTACTGAAATTGAATGTAGCCTGTTAGTTTTTCTGTTGTAGACTAAGGCCGTTGCGCTAACAGTAATTCCTAAAGTACGTGTTCATTTGATGAGTATAACGGAATTTTTCCTTGCTGTGGTGCTTTTAGTTCCAAACGGCTCAAAGTGTTTTAAGACCTACATTCAGTAAGTACAGAATCACCATTACAAGCCAACGCTCAGATAAAGAGAGTGGAGTGAGCTATGGAATTTTCTACATGGGTGTATAGAAAGAAGGGGAAATTTTGGCTGAGGAGCTAAGTCAAAGTCTAGAAATTACGAAAAGTAATGTATAATGTAGAAAAGAGCTCTCAGGGTCCAAGGTAATAACCGTTATTCTGTCTGCCTTCACCTCTCCTTGAATGCATGTACAGATAATTGATCAAATCCATTTCACTTTCCTTGGAAGAATAAGGACTTGAGATTTGAGCCAGTTGTTCTTGGAGCTTAGGGAGTTACTGTCGTTTTGCTGAGCACCTGAATTCAACAGTTTTTTGAATTGCTAAAACTCCTCTACAGCATTTAAGAAAATGGCTGGATTGGGTAGAAATGAACGTAATAAAAATATGAAACTGTCCTCTGCCTCTCATTTAAGTTTCAGGGTTGCATAGGGAGAGATGACTGCATTTACTTACTTGGCTTTAATTGGAAACCCAGTTTTCAGAAAACACATCTGAGATTCTCCTGCTTATCTCTTACTTTGTGAATGCTGTTTGGGATTTTGTGTTTGTCAAGCTTACTCTGGGACTATTTGGCTAGAGAAACTAAGCTTCCATATCGTATAGTTTTGGAATGCCTTTCAAAAAAAAAATGCATGTACTTTGTAATTTTTCCATTCTCTTGACTTTCACACATAGTTCTTATACAGTGTCTAAGGCTTACTTTTAAAATCCCAGGATATGCAAGAGGATGTGTCTTGGTTAATGAATAGTAGTAAGAGTTCTGTAAATAGTTCTCCTCCTCTTAAGTAAAAATCCTCCTTATAGAAAACAGCATATGTCCCTTAGATCAACTACTGTGAAGTTTTTATATCTGTGGATTGCCAGTCCTAAAAATACATTTGTTAACACTTCTAATTGATACTGGATTTAAAAGAATTTTGGATTAATATTATGACAGTGTCTCAGAATTATTTCTTTAATTGTGATTCAGGAGAAATCTAAGACAAGGTTTGAAGTTGTCCATAGTAATTCATAGTTGTCATTGAGTTTTTTTTTTTTTTAAAAAAAATAAAATAAAAAGAAGTCACAGTTCGGAGAAATTGTATTTTATTCCTGTCGGATAAGCCAATCATGATTTCTTGAGGGTTTTTTCATGATTGTTGTTTTGAATGTATTTAATCCGTACTCTAAACTGTATTAAGTCTTTCTGTAAGGTTTTGGGGAGGTTTTTGGTTTGGTTGGTTGTTTTTTGTTTGTTTGTTTGTTTCTGTTGATTGGCTAGATAAGTCTCTTGGTGGTATTTTTGTTGCCTAATCACAAGTATTCATAACTGGACGTGCAGAACTCTAGCCTGACAGCTTACATCTGTGAAGGGTTTAAAGCTCTGTAAATAGAGGTACTTGGAAGATCTAAACTTGGTAGTGCTCAGTGTATACACTGACATTCCTTGTGGATGCTTGGGCCAGAAAAAAACAAGCAAGTTTTCTACACCGTCCTTAAACAGAACTTTATCATCTCAAATTAGTATTTAGAAATACTAATACCTACGCTTTGGTGTTAATTCTCAGTGGATGAACGCATCCTCAACAGCAACTACCCGTCCAAATCTGGACGCAAAATGGCTGATAGTTACAGCATGTCAGTAGTGTAGTAGTTGGTATAAACCTTATCAGGCTACTTTGCATATATAATTCATTCATATAGTGCCCTGAACGTTTCGGGTGCAAGCAGTAGAGATCTGTATAGTCAAACTGCTCCTAGGGGTCCATATAACTTCCAGATTCTCTTGGTTTCTTCTTTGTCAGACCACAAATTTGTAGAGTGGACAGTTTAATGTTCATGTGAAATGGCATGAATATGCATCTATGTATTTACAAATAATAAATGTCTCTACTATTCGATGTGTCTGTGTATTGGAAGCTGTTTATTATGATTATAGATGTTCAGAATATTAAAATCCGTATTTAACTATAGAACTATGGAACAGTAATAGCGAAGAAAATGTTACTTTAATGAGACTATAGTATTTTATATAGTGTAATGGTTATTATCAAAATGGACTTTCTAGATAATTCTACCATATGTATTTAAGATGACAAGTTAGAATACTTTTTCATTGTTATTTTATATGAATCATAAGTAGCATGATGATAGACAGGCAAGCAGCACTGTTGGTAAGATTATCTAGTGTTATCGAAGTTCTGCTTTTCTTTTGCTAAACTCATGCTATACTGATTGAAATTTTGCGTTCTAGATGTCTGCCTCTGGATGACTTTTTCTGTAAAACTTCAACCAATATGGTTCAAACATTCTGAAGACTGATGCAATGGAAAAGACTCTTGTCTCTGTTAAGTTTTCTAGGGACCTTTGAATGTCTGTAACGCTCCTATGTTTGAGCAGAGTGACTGTGACGTATCATGTTATGAACACAGAAGGGGCTTAATAAAGAATGTATGGATAATTTTTAGTTCTTGAGCTTCCTATGCTTTGGATGCTTACTAATGGTGTTCCTATTTTGCTGCTGTGTGGTTGATTATACAGCACTTTGCAGTCTGTGATTTATCTTATTTTGCTTTAGATTATTGGTTGCCAAGTCAGAAGAGAGCCATTGGAGTCTACTGAACGGTATACTCGTTGGATCAATAATCTGACTGAAGAACAACTTCTTACACAGGTATTCTTGTTTCAGCTGTGACTGAAATTGTGGCACAAAGTTACACTTTTCATTAACGATACTTGATTATTTACCAAAGTTATCAGATACATATTTTGTAAAGTTAGTCTTTTCAGTATGAGAGAAGTTTGCAATGCACGTGATGGTAATGTAAGGATGACCTCACACTGGGAGAGGTTGAAGCTTTTGAGTTTAGCTTCACAGTGAGCCTTATTTTTTTTCCTCTGCTGTCTGTGGTTAAATGCATATACTTTCATGTTCTAATAATTAGATGAGGATTTTCTTTTAAAAGATGTATTTAAATACACAAGGAAAATAGGCTTTCTTGAGAAGGAATTTTCTTTCCAGAAGGTTAGGCACCGACTGCTCCTGTATCTGGTTAAGTCTTGCTACAAATCATTTTAAAATAGCAGTTCTTCAAGGATTAAACAGGGCTCGTTATTCATGATTTTGAGTAAGATGCATCTTGTGCAACTGAAGATGACAGTTTTGGCATAACGAAAGGTTGTTTCATTAGGCAGGCAGCCAATGCTGAACTAAAAGAGACTTTGGCAAAAACAAGTTAAACTGTGGAAGAGATCAGTCCAGCTTGTGGAAGAATGTGTATGCTAACTTAGTATTATAAGAAATCTAATGCGTGGTTAACAGAAGACAACCCAGCACGCATTAAGATGCAAGTACTTGGGGTTAGTGTTTGTGGGTGCTATGGCAGGAAGACATTTGCTTTTGATTTTCCTGGATTTAAGTGGTTGAGAAGATTAATATACCCTTGTTTTTAGACTTCATTATAAAAACTACATTGTGTTCTCCATTACCCTAACCCCCCAAAGACTTACTTTCAGGCTCTGATATGGTAATTGTAACCCAAAAAGCACAGACCTTCTTTTAAAATCAGCAGTGGCACTATGGTTTCCTATAATTTACCAAGTGAAAGTAGTTACAGAAAAACAGTTACCCATGGAATATTTGGGTTGGCCTTTCAGTTTGGCATTAGCAAAGTTTTGTAGGTTGAAGACCTGTCAATTTGTGTCTCAACATCTGGATACACAGTAATACCGCATCGCTATGTTGTTGAAGAAAAGAGAAAGAAAAACCTGGGGCTGTAAAACTTTGTCCTCCAACTTCTGAAGTGCTTCGTTTATCTTCACGTGGCCACTGGATGGAGCCTTTAATGAATTAAGGTGAAAATTAAAAGAAATGTCATAACTTTGAGATTATTTAAGGTCTGGTCGGTAAGGGGGTGGATGCAAAAAGATAACTAATTTTAAGATGGGGCTTTCAGTTTTCTTCAAGAGACTATAAGATATAGTGCTTCTGATAGTAGGATGTAGATACCATGACCTGGGAATTTCTTTGCATTTCTATGTGCCTGTGAATACCTCTGAAAAACGTTAATCAAGCAGCATGTGCAGTCCATTATTTTAATGTATGATTTACTTTCACACATTTTACAACTAGATGAGAAATGTTGGAAAATATATTGGGATAGGAACTACGAGGCTGCATGGTGGAACTGGTGCTACTTTTAGTTTGGTTTCTTAACGAGATGAGATTTATACAATCACGCTATTTATGTGTTCCTAATTAGCTTTTGAACTTGCTACAAATTCTTCACCAAAGTTAACACAGGCATAGAAATTCCTCAAAGACACAAGTTTCCTGAAACTTTTGTGGAAGTGTGAAGCTAGGTAGAAAAGAGAGACTCTACTCTACCAGCTGCAGCTCGTATGTTATTAGGCACGATAGAATCTACTTGGACAGAGATCCTAGGTGACCAGTCATAAGAAAAGCTTCAGTTGGACCCCATGATCAGCTGTGATGCCCAAGGCTGTAGAAAGCTCAGCTTTTATAATTCCGGCGCAAAAAAAACCTGTTTGATTTTTGGTGCTGTACATGTTAGGATGTGTCCTCTCTCCTGCTTCAATATCCATATTTCTCATCATAAATTCAGGTGGGGAGGTAAATTATTTTGCTTTTCCTTGACTTAACAGGTAGGAGGAGGAGGAAGTGGAAGGAGAAACTAATCCAGCTTTTACGTAACAATCGGGATAGGAGCCTGTAATGTACGGTTAGGCTTGCTTTCTCCCTCAGTACATGCTGTATTTTGTTTTGGATGCGCATTTGCTAATTCTTTTCAGTAAATGAGCCCCAAGAAAACTACAATTCCAGTGATGAGCCCTTGGTAATGGATTTGTAGAATCTCTGGGAGGAGCAATCCTTCAGGGAATTCAGGAAATTTGGCTTTAATTTACAGCATATTGTCTCCAGCAGTTTCCTGTAGCGAAAGAATGATCAGCTTTTTTCAGCTGTCTCTGTAGTCAGTGCCCAGTTTTTTTTCCATTTACTTCTGTTGCATTTCTGTATCATGCATGTACAAATTATTTGTTCCATAATTTGGGAAACTAAGGCAACAGTTAAAAAGAAAGAGTCAATTGTTGAGAACATGTAATCTCCTGTGATAATATTTATGTTTCAAAACAAATAATTTCTTAAAGTATGTTTGCTTTACTAGGCAGTGACCAAATCCAGTTTGAAAGAGATAGGTGGCTGCAGATGTTTTGTTAAGTGGTTGGATGGCTTCATATGCTTCAGCGTGGGCTGCCGGTTTTATATCGCTTGAGTCAACACCAGATTTCTGGATTGAGTGTCCATCCTCTATCCTCGTGCTGCGAGGATCATGCAAAATGCTTCTAGCATTTTAACTTTTGCTTTCCCTTAGCGATGGCCTCCTGATGCTTACTCATCCATTAAATGTTTCTGTAAACAATTATACTGTAACATTCCAAAGATGCTTTTTGGCACGTGTGAAATTGCAGGATATAAACTTCAGAGAGTCTGGGGGGAGTAAGAGAATACAATGAGAGCATAGTAATGTAAAAACTACCTTTTAAAAGATGAATATTTGCTTGTTTAAGGTTATCTTCAATATAAGTTCGGAGTGCTTAAAACATGCTTTTACAAGTATACTAATGTAAGCCTTAAGATACATATATATGAGGGGCTTGCTATCTTTTTGTCCAATAGTTTAAAAAAGAAAAAAAAAAAAAAGGTCATTTTAACTGTTCAGTAAGTGCAGAGTACAGTAACAGGTACAGGAGGAAAATGTGCAAACAAATTAACAATTAAAAGAACTGATTCTTTTGATGTTGGAGTAAGTGGGGAAAAAAATAGATTAAACCTAATCTTACTGTAGGATATCCGAGTCTGAATTGTGCTTGAAATCTGGTTAAAGATTGATCATGCAGCATTTTGTGTACACTGGAAACTTTACTGTAGTGTTAAACTAAAAACATCTGAAGGTTTGTAAGGTTTATCTAAGCAGTTTTTAAGGATTGTCGCTGACTATAAGTAACATAGTTGATCTCATGTCTGTGTCTGTTGAATCGCTAGTTAGGTTAGTTTAGTCTCACGGACAGCTTGTGAGGTACTATATTCAGCCTGAAGCATAATTCCATCTGACCGGCTGTTTTTTTTCCCCTAGCCAAAGACAAGAAACTGCTCTGCTTTCATATAGCTGTTCACTTAGAAAGCAGACTGTGAGCCTGGACTGATATGCGAGGACAGCCTTGCAAATAGGACTGGCCTCTGTGGTTGATGAGGTTAGACTGTCCTGGTTTAGAAAAATCTGACTGAACAAAACATTATGATTTCCTAAGTCTGTTGCACACTGTAATGTGTCTGTATTGCTTCTGATACGTAGTCCACTTGGCGGATTATCTCCGGGCTCTTTGTGTTGGATAGACCTTGAAGTTTTCACAGGTGATTTGTAGTTCTCTTATCAGTATTCTCTTTGGATCATCGGCTAGAACAGCAGCGTTTGACATATTAGAAATCCATACCATTCACTTTTCTATGCTTGCAGGTGCCTGTTAAATTTAGTTAATAGGTTTAAAAGCTGTGGTTCTCTACTTACAAAGTCTGTCTATCTTCTATAAATTGTATGAGACTTTTAATTAAAATATTAGATAAAAGTTCATGTAACAAATCAGCGTTTACTGTAGATATTCAGTTTGGAAACTGATCCAGCCTTTCGGTTGAGTGGATCATGTAGCTTGTTTTAAAGGCAAGAAGGACCATATATCACGAGCTTTTCCTGATGTTGTGACTGGGCCTTTTCCATACATTCAGTACACTCAGTGGTGCATTGTCTTAGTGCATCTAAATAGGCAGCTCCCTACTACCTGGGAGGAGAGAAGGCAGCCAGGGTGGGTTGAGGTTGTCTGAAAAAGTCATACAGCTTGCCGTTCCCTCTCTGCCCCGGGAAAGGGAGTGAGTGGGAACAAGCTGTGCGGGTTAGCGTGCTTGCCGTCTTCTCTGGTGCGTGTATAGGTGCCGCCTGATACATGTGCAGTAAGCCCAGTGTAGTAGGGAAGGAGCTGTACTGTCCTCGGGAAACACTGCAGCTGAATGCAAGCTGGCACGACCAAAGCAATGCGCTTGGTCTGCAGCGTGGTGCCAGAGAGCTCACAGAAAGCTGGCAGGGGAGCGGGTTGCGGGCAGGATGAATTTTCCAGGTAAGCCGCAGACCGAGCATCCCTGGCCTAGAGCGTCTCTTTTCACTAGCTGCAGACGAAAATATTCTGACTGTATAAATACCAGAGGTTGATTGTCAGTATTTTTCTAACCAGAACTGAAATAATTGAGGTGGCAATTTGAAAGTGGATGTATAAGTACTTGCAATGTGTGCTGTCCTGTTACATTTATAAAGGCTGAAGCTGGGTGAAGAGTAAGACTTTCTTACTTGAGAATGAATATAACATGAAAAGGCTGATTGATTTCCCCCTCCCCCCAACTTCTTTGATCTTTGCCACTAATAATAGCTCACTTGTGTTTGTTGTCTTTTGATCAGAAGCTATCTCAATGCTTTCTGGCGCTTTTTTTGTCACCGTTTCCTCTTCCTTCACCACAATATCTAAAAACTTGGTAGTTAATGGTGAAGTCCTGTTGTTTTTCTACTAAGTTGGTACAAGCAAAGTTACAAACTGGTTAAAAGGATTGGA